ATTGTTTCTTGAACGAAATTCAAAGTAATTGTTAAATTCATCAAAAATTAGTTAAATTCRTTATTATGGATTATATTTCATTTTGAAATGTTGTATAAAACTTACCAATCATCAACAACATTCCTTAAATCGCAATGAAARTATTTATGTTACTTCACACATACATACATACGCACAATATTTATTTTCTTTGTTTATTCTCTCTTGCTCTTCTATTGTAGATCATTCACAATGCGTAACTAGCTGTCAGAGTTACTTGAGAAATAATGATTTTTTTTTCGTGAGCAATTACTTGAGAGCTGGATACCAACCTGAAAAGTATACAGTGTTTTTATTTCTAAACCTTCGCCAATCCACAGCGAACAACCTCTAAAAATGTCGTCGAGATTGGTTCAGCCGTTCTCGAGCCGTTTCTAACAAACAAACATTCACTCGTTTGTATAGGAAAAAGAAAAGAGTTTTTTTAGGGGTTTTCGGGCAATTATTCGAATTTTTCTCGCCGTAAAAACCATTTTTGCGCCTCAGCGAATATTTAGAAAAAAGAATTGGCCAAATTTTTCCAGGCGTTGTTTAATTATGCGCTTAGCAACACATTTTGCGATTCATTTTTATATATAAGATGAATAATAGAGCTATTTTATGCTTTTATTTGTAAAATAACGTCAGGTTTGATAGAGCTTTAAATAATTTTATATTTTACAAACAGTTGCGAGAATTGAAATAGTAGTTCCTATTGGCCAAGAGAGTTTTGCTTTAAATTTTGTTTCTTTTGTGATAATGCCGTCGATCATTATTTTAGTTATATTCTCTGAAGTATAACGGTCCTGTTATATACAACTATAAGTGTGAATTACTTACCGTTACTTTTTTAAAGCCAATTTTATTAGGATATCTGTTTATGAGCGAGCAATAGAATAGTATCGAACGAAACTTGGCCAGCGAATTGGACAGCTCAATCCCGTGACCTCAATCCCATTGAAAACCGTTGGGCAGACGTATGGAATGACAAACCCCAAAAACAACAATGACATACCACTAAAAAGATGCCAGATTAGTAGATTCTGTGAAGAGGCGTTGTATTGCTGTTATTAAAAATCATGGCCATGCTACCAAGTACTAATACATTGTATAGACGGAACTTCCAAAAATTATTCAGTTAAAAAAAAAATTTATTACTTTACTACTATTTTACTGCTGCCATCAAATTTCATATATAAACACAACTTTGTGAAAAAATATATCTTACACCCATTCAAATTAAAATATTTTTATTAATAAACGTAGCCAGGAAAATATGATAAACTTTTCCATTTCAATTGATGTTAAAATTGTTTAGAATTTTGCATAACTCACAGGTATGTTAAACTCTAACACCCACTACTATTTCACTGCTCGCATCTTTATGTGTGGCTGTCGTTGGCAAATGTAAAAATATATTGAAGTTAGCGAGAGTGACAACTGTCGTCCTGTAGTCGTGCAGCTGTCAAAATAACTATGTCCATAAGAACGTGTGTATTTTAATAATTTATAAATGTCGCTTGCAGTCTGTCGCGCTCAATGTGTTCAGCACATTAATGTTATTGGAAGCGTTCATAACGTTCGAGAACCTTTTTTTTTGTATTAGAAGATACAACACCTTAAAACACTTGGCTTGAAAGGTAACTTCGAAATCAAAGAATTTGCGGAAAAATTTATTACTCTTCCACCCATAACCATCCCATCACCGAAAAGAGCTGTTAGAAATATAACAAAAGTTGGCAAATAACTAACGACGAATAGCTTGATATAGTTTTGGTTATGAAATTTATTTTGAATTCTTTTTAATTTTTGTATATTCTAGGCATACTTTTGCAATAACCCCAAAATTATCAAGATCTACTTTGCTAGTCCAATAATCAAAAAATATTAAATGGTCACTATTAATACATGATAATAATACTATTAAGTATTTTATTTGTCATGGAGCATTCATTAAAGCGAAACACCGCCAATTTCATGACCAATACGGTCGGTTATAACGACTCTTTAATCTGTAATACAACTTTAATGGCTTCAGAACAGCTTTTGATGCTGTGGTTAGCCGTTATACTCCGTGCTCCTTATACAAACTACAACAACACTATTATGAAGTTGACTTTGTCGATTTTGCAAAATCCTTTAATACAAAAGTAATTACCCCAGCAGATTACGCTCATAGTTTTTTTAAGCAAAGCTCTTTCTTGATGGCTTGCTCAGTTTTGTAGAAGTGTTTCCTTGGATGCGTCTGGGTTTTTCTTCACCTACCAACAATACTTTTTTATTCCCCATAAAATTTGTTTTTTGTATTTATTCTATTTATTGTATTTTTTCTTTATTTCCACTTCAGTTTTAATGGTCYATTTCGGCAAATGCATAATCAAAGCGCATCCTCCACTTCTGCGCTCTGGCGAAATCGCAATCGCTGCTACACTTGGCCACACCGCGCACGTTCATACAGGCGCAGATTCGAAAAAGGCTCTAATTTTATAGCTTCCGCTTTTGTTCGGTGTCTGACAATCTTCTAACCCATCCTGCAACCACCCGAAAATTGAGTTATTTTCTTCTTAAAGGTATGAATCTTCGCCGTGCGCTTGCCACAAAATCTACAGTCAAATATTATGCATAAATGTCAAAACTCGCCAAATACTGAAT